ACAGAGTTTTTTTTTATTGTGAAAACTAAACGTCCATATATAAAATAAGCTTGTATTGTAGGTTGTAGAGGTTTTCATGCTGCATCTTTTTATATCTTTTGTTTTTTAACAAAAACATATTAGATGATTTAAATAGAAGCGCTCCTATTCATTATGACCCATCCGTTTTAATAAAACTAGCTGTATCAATAATGGAGATTTGCAAAACCAGTTCTAGTTCCGATCTCGATGAACAGATCCAAACAAATTAAAATATAACGAGTTCGAAACTACAAGGAAAAAGTTTCTTCGAATTTGAACTAAACATTATGGTTACAGTGTACATGAAAAACTCCATTGCTGATTTATTCTATATTGTTTTGTATTATATTTTTGAATATTAGTAATGAAAAATGAAAGATTATAATATATGTTAATAAATAAGTAAAATATAGATTATATTATAAATGAAAAGAAAAAAAAAAGTTCAGATTATTTTTGCTGTTTCTCGAGTTTGTAGGCGTTGATCATTTTCTATCATCGATGGAAAATAATAGGAAGACAAGCATATATTTTTTTATTAAGAAAAAAAATCTTTTCAATTTTTATATCATTTTTTAAATATCTACAAATATACAATTGACATTTTTTTTTCTCTCATTTGTTTTTTTTTTACATTTATATATATGTTCAATTGATTGCCTTATGACAATAAATCGTCATTATTGTTTGAAATAAAAAATAATTTATTTTGTTTTTTCTTTCGAAAAATTCAATATCGATACAAACACTATGATAAAAAGTTGTTAGGAAACAAAAAAAAAGACTTTATTTTTATTCATTGAAATATTCTCTATTATTTCGATTTATTTCGAATAGTTTTCTTTTGATTAAAAACTTGATAAAAACGATAATTATCTTGAATCCATTTAAGAGTTTATTAATCTGACAGATAATTCTTCATATAAATACATATTATACTCTATAATAAGTCAAATAATAGCGAAAAATTGACGCAAATAATATATAGAAGCATTTCTAATAGAACATTTTTATTATATGAACAAGAAAAACAAAAAAAGATTTTCGAAAACTCGTCACCTTTTGGACAAGTCTAAGAAAAACTATTATCATTGATTAAACTCTTTTGAATCTCTCACGTTAATAATCTAATTATAAAAAATATTTGAACACTCGAAAAAAACATCTCTTAACATTTTTCTTCTTATTCAATGGAACCATGATATAGCAAATAAATTCATATTTTCATTGCCTTACATTTATGACGATAGATATTATTCATATGGAGTTCTATGATGATACGTATAATTAATATTTCGTTCTCATAAATAAATAATGTGAGTATGAAATATCTCGCATAAAAAAAAAACAACATTTCTATGATTATAAATATAGACTGTAGATCATATATAAAATATTAATCGGACAAGAGTTGTTGGAATTTTAAAGACTAACAATAAATTATTTGAAAGTGAATTTATTTAAATGAAACAAGATTAAAAAACAAAAGTGTTAACCTGATTTTTATTTGTTAAAAAAAAAGGGTTCTCCATGTTTCATGTGTATATTTAGAATAAAAACTAAATGAAACATAGAGTTTACTAATAAAAAAACTCAATTGACTGTTCAAATTGGAATTCAATGTGTCAATCAGTTATTAAAGAATTTTCAGAGTTTACCTTTTATCCTACAACGTCAACTTAAATATTCGTAGAACGATAGAAATAAACAATAAGAATCCATCGTAAACATGAAAACTATTTAATTGATTTTCCTTTATCTTGAAAAAAAAACATCGAACAAAGTTATTTATATTTAATCATATGAGTAAAAGACACTTTTACTGTATTACTTTAACAATGTAAGACTTATGAATATATATTTATTTGAATAAACATTACAAGAAACAATTTTTTCTTATTTCGTCTTATCTGAGAAATTTTAAAGGTTACATGTGTAGTGACGTTGATGCACATAGTGCGACTTAAGTGACTGATTGTCTCTTTAAAGGAACCAATAAACATATTTATTTATGTATTTACGTCAAGCATAAGCAGTTCGTCTATGCATTTTCACAAAGTATGGATAGCACGGTTACGTACTTGTATGTAAGGCGGCATGAATGTATCCTATGTATACAGTCATATAGATGAATAGTCACCTGTATACAAAGAGAATTCGTTCTTGCAGTGTGTCTTTGTTTATTTATTAGATAAAACTATTCAGCTCGTTCATAAGGTGTACCTCACTTTCTGATATCTAACAAAAAAGATGTGTAATAATAAGGTAAAGTCTATCTTTCTATAATTATTCTGTTTCAGATTAATAGAACGTTATTTGAAAGTAATAAGCTGTACGTGAATCTTCATTTTCTTGTAAAAGTAGTATGTGTGCTAAACGTTGATTGAAACAGGCGAAAGAAGTAACTATAGAGATAAAAAATGTTCACATTTTCTTAAAATAATTTCATTTTTTAATTGTAGAATACTTTCGCATCTGGTGAATCATTAATAACAAAAATCGAACAATTAGAATTATTAGTAGCCATTCAAGATGCCACAATAAAACAATTACAAGATGAAAAATTACAAATATCACAAACAATTCAATTTCAAGAAAACAAAATCAAGAAATACTCTAGAAAAAATTTTCGTCGTCTTATTTATGTCGCACTAGATATTTTAGTGATTTTATTTTTTCTTCATGTACTTGTTGAAGTACGCATGTGAAGGAAATTAAAAAAAAAGAATTTCAAATTTTACTTTGAAACTATCAAATAAATAATCTTTGATTAAAATATTTGCATGCAAGATAAAACTTTTCATCGAAAAGTATTCTTTGAATATTTGTGTTTCAATTACCAAAATATTTTCTCTCAAATAGCATACAACTTTAGAAATTCGTATTATGAGAAGTCAACAGATGATTTTCTGCTGGAATGTGACGCAAGTTTGATTATATAAAATTGAAAGTACTGTTAACCTGGAGAAATAAATAAATAAGCAAAATATTCCATATCTCTATTGATTGCATAATTATATTTAAATATTTCGAGAGATTTTCTTCCGTCGATGATCATTTTACAGAGAACTTCTTTAAAATAATTTCAAAATGAATCCAAAATTATAAGATATCGCTTTCTAAAACAATCATATCTTTCATAATAACTAAAACTTTCTTAACGTCTTGTTCTCTACAATCAACTACTCATCTTGCTCATCAAAGTATTATTGATATTGTAGATGACAACACGTCTGATCCTCTATTGCTAGCATGTTGCTCTATGAAAAAAAATATTTTTGTTTAAATAACCATCTTATGATTGCTTCATATTACCTATTTTGTTAATTGTGATGTTTTTTGTCCAATAACTTTCGGACGGTACACTTGTCTGAAAGTTATCAAATATTTGAAGTTAAAGTCTTACAATGAGTATGATTTAAATACGAAAAAACTTCTACGCAAAATATTCAGATATCGTTTTTCTATTTCTAAATAAAGATTATTAAGATTTGTCTCGTGGAATAAAAAATATTAAATACTGGAACTTCGAAATCTTGTTTTGTATAATTTTCTCCTTAAACTAACTGTCATGAATTTTTTTTGTTATCAATATAGCAGATAATGTGATACTATACCACGAATATTTTACTTTCTTATGACACAAGTCTAATATGCGCTATAGCAAAATGACGATGTGAAAAATCCAAATTGTTGAGCGTGTGCTTTTACACAAATATATCCACTAAATATAATATGAGTAATTTGTAGGGATTTCACCTATCAACGCAACTCATGACTCAGGTTTACACCATTCGCAATCAATAGGATTTACTATTATAAAGAAAGGATAAAACTATTGACTCGAAAAGAAAGGGAAAAACTATGGAGAGCCAAATGTATATAAACAGCATGAACCATTCATGTATCATTGTGATACGAAACTTTGGAAATACAAGATAACTCATTTCTAAGTAAGTGATATTTCTATTACAAGTTCAAATCATACTTGGACCTTAACAAAACACATTTAGGCACTGTACATTTGATACAAAATAGCAATGGCTTATTTTTTCTAGCAAAAATACGAATTGAGGCAGATCTTCCACTTTTTGAACATGAAAATCAAAGTTTTTCGACACTTGCTTTTTCACTACTAATATGGTCTTGAAGTATCGTCTATTTAATCTAATGACATGCGCTAAGATCATGCTATTCTATCAGAGATGTCCCTCGCGGTTGAAAACTGACCGTTGCCGCGCCCCACCGCGATGTTTATTTGAAAAAAACAACCGCTACCGCGCCGCCACCGCCACAGTGGCAGCAGCGCGATGGCGATAGCGGCAGCGGTCACACTGCGATGGACATCTCTGTATTCTATACAAATTTTTCCTAATCATGATGATTATTTCTAATTCCAAAGATGCTAGGAACATAAGTCTTGGATTCTCTAAGATCACTAAGAAACATGGCTAATTTGGGATCAGTTTAGTTGATGGAAAAAGTTCTAATATAAACAGGAATGTTTGTTTTCGTTTTTCTCGAAACTGGTTTTTACACGAGAAAAGTATAGAATCGTACCTCGTTTCTCTAGCACAGTATGTTTTGATTAAGTTGAAATTTTTATTAAAAGAACTAGGCAGTATTTGGGAAGCTTATTTATTTTTTGTTTTGAAAAATATTGCTCGGCTGATTTTTAGTAAAATTTTCAAAAAGAGTTCTAGTAAAAAGAACTATGTGTTTTGGGGAATACTTCATGTATTAAATGGGAAAATTAAAAAGATTGAAGTATCACAAATTGAACATTCTATGAAAATTTTATCTCTGATTTTTTGATGTATTACTCATTAGTTTGTGAAATTGATTGAACAACAGGATAGTTGTTATATGAATATTGATTCTGTTTTTGTTACTACTTAGAAATATATACTATATAAAATGTATAGGAAAGAGCTGAGAGTATTTATTTTATTTAGTACAAAATTTGTAAAATTTATACAATGACTATGTGGATGTTTTGGGCTATTTTTTGTCTGGTTATTGGACAATTGGTCCATTCATTGCCAACAGACGATCAACGTGTTCCACTCGATGGAGTAGTAGGCACAGCTGAATCAGTAGATAAGTCATCGCCTAGGTTTAGTCGACTATCAAGATTGATTAGAAGCAACAATCAAGACAACGATGATCTTAATTTTCTACACAATGTCGAACGCCGAGCTATTAACAATTATTATCAACAAAGAGTATTTGATCTAACGAATCAAGCACGTCAACAAGGTCGCTACTGTGGTCAGACGTGGTATCCCGCTACAACACCACTTTCGTGGAATGATCAATTGGGCATCGCCGCACAAAAACACGCTGAATCTATGCTATATTATAATTATTTTTCTCATACAGGTAGAGATGGAAGCAGTTTTGTAGATCGTATAGCAGCTGCAGGCTATTCGAGGAACTGTGCTGGTGGCGAAAATATTGCTGGCAATCAAACTCCTGAGGCGACAGTCGCTTCTTGGATCAAAAGCTCGGGACATTGTGCCAATATTATGAACAAAAATTTTAGAGCAATTGGCATCGGATATGCAAAAGGTGGTCCTTACGGAGCCTACTGGGTTCAAAATTTTGGCTACTGTTAAATATATAATTATTGTGCTATTACTACGAACATTTTTTTTCCTATCTTTTTTCTTTACTCTCTTTATCTAACTATTCTTACTAGCACTTTTTACATATGCATTAACTCTGAAATAAATTATGGTCATTATAAAACGATTGAATCACTAATAAGTCTTTCAAATCGAAATATTCGCATGTCCAAAAGGTTCTAACTTATGTTGAAAAGATTTTCGCGAGAGACTATGTTAATATATACTATTTCAAAACATTGCTGACCCTTCATTGTTCACTCTTCCCTGCACAACCTTACCTTTATTCGCTATCATACCCTGTAGAATCTATACCTTTATCCTGCCCTACTATTCAAGAGAGTTTATTTCTTACTCTTCTTTGATCTTTCCCTATTCAGAAGACTGTAAAAGTGATACGTCGGAAAATAGTGTCATGTTTTCCTGATTTATTTGATTTTTTCATTACAATATATTTTTTATATGATTTCTTTAAAATTTCTGATGAACAACTTATCATCAACAATATATCATCACTTAAACTTTGTCGTTGTTCTTCGAGTACATCTTAGATGTACCTTGTCTTTTCATCCTGACACACAGTTTGATGCCTTATCTATTAAATATAGAATATATTTACCATCTGGCTCTAAATCATATGATCTTTGTGTTGATTTAACAGCTCGAATTGTATTTTCACCGCTTTTAGTTTCTGCGTATGAAATTGTTTTTAACATATATTTCCCTGGCTAAGATCAACGGCACACCTTGTTTTTTCAATTATATCTCCCTCACCTTCTTGTCCGGTCTCATATTTATACCATAGATATATCTTTGAGTATTTGACTTACTCTGAAAATCTCAACCTTATAATAACGAGTCTTTAGTGAGAAAAATAAAAATATGTGAACTCTACTCATATAGCAATGTCTCCAAAATTTGTTATTTTGCGGATTTTTGCTGTTATTTCAGATTTCATTTGAAATCTCAACTGTAGTTAGTTAGCTGTTATACGTGGCCATACAGAGTGATATCTTAAGATGTCTCTCTGTATAGCCACGCATAACAGCGGAGATTTCAAATGAAATCTGAAATAATAGCAAAAATTCGCAAAATAACAAATTTTGGAGACATTCCTATATGAGTAGAACTCACATATTTTTATTTTTCTCACTAAAGGCTCGTAGTATAAGTTTGAGATTTTCAGGGTAAGTCAAATAATCAAAGACATATCTATGCTATAAATATGAGACTAAACAAGAAGGTTAGGAAGATATAATTGAAAAAACAAGGTGCGTCGTTGATTTTGGCCAGGGGGATGTATAGTTTTTGAACACGAACAATAAGAGCATTAATAATCTGGTTCAGCAAATAGTGATGTAAGTGATTTAAATCAACTTTCAAAAGCGTTTCTGGATTTTTTCAGAATTTCGGACACACGGATTCAATAACACTGTTCTATTATCTCGGAAAAATGTTGAACTCAAATTAAAAGATTATATCGATGCTTTCCAATTGAACCAAATCCGATAATAAAAAATCGAATTACTACATTATCTAAGTTATACATTAATGATAGTGATCTTGGAATTCTCACGTTCTGTCAAAAGGATGGTATCTAGATAATATCTATGAACATTATAAGAACTATTAGCAGACATTACTATTTTTAACTAAACAGATGAATAAAATTTAATTTTCCTACAAAACAAAATATTTTTTTAATGTTTTTTCTTGACAATTTTGAAAAAACGATCAAACTTTGTCATAATGATCTAAAAATTGACTACTAAAGTTTATTTCTTGTTTTCCATGATACTAATGAATTTTGAAAAGTTTTTTTTTTTTATAGAAATGTGCTTCTATTTATGCTAGTTATGTGCTCAAAAGATGATATCATTTACTGGAATATACGAGTGTCTAGACCTGTGGCAAGATCTCCATATAAATCATAGCGTCATTTCTTTCCAGTAAATAATATATGTCTGAAAATTTCAGAGGACAATGGAGAACTATGGGATAACATTTCCTATAAGTTTGAAGTCGATCTGTCAAACTTCCACTGAATCATGAAATACACAATGAGATTGGATGGTTTTGCCCTACATCAAAACATAGAGTAAAATGACTCTAGGTCTACACCAGCTCATTCAACTTCAATGAAAATTTTATCATAGATAGCCGGAGTATAGGGCTATAGAATGAGAGGAAGTTCGGCTCATAAAGTCTTTCCGTTCTTAAGTTATGAAGTCCACAATGGAGGCACACCACATGCCTTATAACTCCCTTATGCCTTATGCAATCAGGATACGGGTTGTGCCTCTGATCTACAATCATCAAGAACTATATACGTACCAATTTTCAGATCCACAACTCTTCTAGTGGCTGAGATCCAAGGGGGAGGATACTTTTGGCCACTAGTGTAGATTCTCTATGATTTTTTAGTGAACTATGCTATAAATCATAACAACCAAAATGAAATTCTGGATAGATGATCAAAAGTGATATTCGTCAACTGATATAAATAATCAAAACATGAGTATCTACGATTTTGTTTAGGTTTAATGCAAATAAATTCTGAAATAGTTTTATCTGAGTTAAGACCGAGTTTTAAAAGATTTGATTCCGCGCAAATCCCTAATTACTATGCAGATGCCATGCATCAGTTATTTCAGTTTTTGCATTCAAAAAAAACACCGCCTAAGTAAGTAAATATAACTTGTACTTTTCTTTTCTTTCGATTAGATATGATATCAACAAGCATATTAAAAATATCAATGGCTATACAAATAATAAGTACAATAAAAAAAACGATTCCGTGCAGCATAATCAAACTTATCATTACACACCTGATAATGACAAAGAGTAAACAACAAGTGGGTTTTTTTCTTACAACGTCATAAGTGAGTAACAATGTACGATAATCAAAAAATATTACTTTTTTTAAATAATTTTGTCAACATTTATTTCAAATGACAGATAGCCAGTACATATGTGAAAATCAATGGTGACAAATCGACTTTACATTAAAAAAACACATTCGAATAAGAAAATGATGAATGCTAATATATTTTAAAAAATTCTCAATGTTATTGTTTGAAAAAAATTAACTTTTTTTCTTCAAACGATTTTTAAAAGCCTTGTTTTAAATTTATTCTTCTGAAACAACAAAACCTGCATAAACATTTTATAATAAGAACAGCATCAAATTTTACATGGAGCATTTTTTTGAAAAAAAATTTTGGATCTAAGATGAATATTCACAATGTTTACTATCTAGTAACATAAAAATTTGATTCATATCTTTTATACATTCACCAATGAAAAATAAATAGCACACTCCAATATTGATGTCGATCTTCGTTTACAAGACATTACCTTCATTCATTTTTGTGTTTTTTCTTAAACGAAATCAAACAACATATACATAACTATGATGAATAGATAAATATAAAAGAAAATTAATAAAAAGATAAAATTGATCATATCGATAAAAGTCATTAATCGAATATGATTATTAATCACTTTTCGATCAAGGTATTTGATCGATTGCATACAAAAGCATGGTGAATTTTTAGATCCTTTATCTATTAATATATATTCGAATTTTATTCAAGATTATCACATACATCCGATTGATAACATAGATTATCCAAATAACAATTCAAAGCTTCATGTATTTCGTATAAATATTCTTGCCTACTGATCAAATAATATTTTATATGACCTGTAGACGATTTCAATATGACTCAATACTTCATATGTATTAGTTCCTCATCATATATTTCTTCTGTTCATAATTTGATGTGCAAATTTTTATTTCATTGTTGTCTTGTGTATGTTTTGTAATTCGAAAATTGTTTATTCGTAGTTTTGATTTGATCTATAAAATCTTCAGCTGCAACACAATTCGACTAGTCTTTGCTTTACTTTTCATCAAGTAGAAATATAAGTGTATTTTTTGTAATTATCACAAGTCTGCCTAAGCCATTCTGTCTAATACTCTCATTCAAATGAGCTATTTTTCTATCAAGTAATTTTATCTTAATGATACTACTTCCCATTTTTCAAGAATTTTTCTGGAGAATGGCTAGTGAAAAAAGTTTGAAATTTTCCAAGCCTTTTGATCTTGATGAACATAACAAAAATTTTCATTCTTAATACTGTCTGCTAAAAGATACTGAAATTATAATGATTTCTGTTTCTTTACGATGCAATGTTCAATCGAGTTGAACTCTTTTGTGAATTTTTTAACGTCTAAAGACAATTTTTGTACTCCAAAATATATTTATTAAATATCATGTGTCAATCTATCAAAGATATTCATAGTCTTTCCTCCGTTCTATAGCTAAAAAAGAAGAATAGAATGCCTCGAATGCCATTATGAATTGTGTTTGAATTCATGTACAAAGCCATCAGTTGTGTATAAAATAAGATTTATCTAAGCTAGAAAAATAAACAACTAAGAAATATAAACGAAAATGAATATCCAAGAAATACAGGTCTATAGAAATATATATAAACAACACTATATTACCACTTTGATGATTTAGATTTTGTTTTATTAACTGTCTGGTCGACGACAATTTTCACATGAATTCATTATATGTTCTTCATATGGTTCAACTTGAATTGTAACTCTTGTTATCAAATGTTTATGACGAAGTATTTCTTGAGCGTCATTTAAGACTGTTAAAAAATTCTGATCACTATCTAGAAAAACATTTTTAGAATTAAACATATTGATATTAAATGAAACAAAATATCATACCTATTGCTAAATGAACTGATAATGCTGTTTTTTGTGTTGATAATGACCAAATATGTAAACTATGTATATTACGAACACCTCTCAAATGACGAAGATCATCAATAATTTGTCCATAATTGACATTTGATGGAACAGCTAAAAACATACAAAAAAAAGAAATCAAAAGACTAATTTATCAATTAAAACACAAACCTTCCATAAGAACAAAAACAATATCATACATTATAGTAAATGTTGTAAT